TCTGATAGTTAATTAGATATAAGAGTTTCACAGACTTTTTTGCCCAGGCTAGCTTAGAATCTTGGTAGTTAATTAGAGAAAAGAGTCTGACAGACTTTTCTGCCTGGGCTGGCGTAGAACCGTGATCCTCAGATCTCAGCCTCCTGAGTAGCTTGGATTACAGGCATTGAATCACCAGCATCCGCTGTCCCTGACATTTTGTGCTCAAGACTAGCACTCTACTACTTGAGCCACAGCTCCATGTTCAGTTTTCTTGGTAGTTTATTGGAGATAAAAGCCTCCATGGACTTTGTCCTGGTTGGCTTTGAACTGTGATCCTCAGATCTCACCCAGTCATAATTTTTGGTTAAACAGATTCTTCCAGATGCATATTAACTTCATGAAGCCTGAATTTTGGCACTGGGTGTAGTTTTGGAGCTAACAGCCAGCATTTCCCTGCTGCAAATGATCACATCCAAATCCCACATGTCAGTGTCCTGTGACAGCGTGTCTCTGGCATCTTTCCAGGATACTAGAATCCTCTGATGTGAAATAAACTGAATCTGGGAGGAGTAGGGAACTCTAATTCCTCTCCAATGATAAAAAATATGTGGTTTGTTCTCCTGCTTTCTCCTGAGAGTCAATTAAAAAACATTTACATGGCCAGGGATGTGACTCAGTGGTAGAGTTCTTGCCTACTATGCACAAGACCCTGTGTTCAATACTCAGGACATCATAAAACAAACACACACACACAAACCCAAAAGCAAAGCTCTAGTGGCTCACAACTAGCGGATTCAGCTTAATTGAAAGGCTCAGATGGGAAAGATCACAGTTTGAAGCCAGCCTGAGCAGAAAAATACTTGAAACACCTGTGGGGGCAGGAGCTGGGTACAGTAGTTTGTGTCTGTTCCTTTGTGTGTGTGTGTGTGTGTGTGTGTGTGTGTGTGCGTGTGTGTATGGGGGGGGGTCAGGGGAGGAACGTGGGGCTTGAATTCTGTACCAGGGCACTGTCTCTTGGCTCTTCAGCTCAAGCCTAGCGCTCTAGCACTTGAACCACAGCAGCATTTCTGTTTTTCTGGTGGTTAATTGTAGATAAGAGTCTCACGAACTTTCCTTGCTCGAGCTGGCTTTGAATTGCGATCCTCAGATTTCAGCCTACTGGTACCCGCTGTTATTTATTTAATTTTTAACAACACTAATAGGATTTATTAAACATATTAAAAGTGACACATACAATTTCAGATTTTTCAATGAAAGGCATTTTTCTGATCCAGGGACAAAGAGGCTCTCCTGAAAGAAAAAGGTAAAGTTTCTTTGTATGACTAATTCTACATAATGTGTCAAACACAGTAAGTCACAAATTCTCTCACAGGAAAGTGTTATGAAACAGATCACACTGTCCCAGGTGTCAGTTGTGGGTAGAATTAAGTTATAGGAAGCATGTAATCAACTAAAGCACCATTTTTAGAGTTATGGGGATGAACACAAACTAATTCAAATACTTGCATCCCTTATTTAAAGGTTTTGCTACCTGAACCCTGCTTTGACATTAAAAAAAAAAAAACCAAAAAACCAAAAAAATCCAAAACCAAACCCCCAAAACTTTGGTCCAATAAAACAGACAAAAGTTTTACAGTTAAGCCGGGTGCTGGTGGCTCACGCCTGTAATCCTAGCTACTCAGGAAGCTGAGATCTGAGGATCCCGGTTCAAAGCCAGCCCGGGCAGGAAAGACCGTGAGACTCCTCAATCTCCAATAAACCACCAGAGGGGCTGGGAAGGTGGCTCAGTGGTAGAGCGCTTGCCTTGCATGCCTGAGGCCCTGGGTTCGATTCCTCAGCACCACATGAGCAAAAAGAAAAAAGCCGGAAGTGGCGCTGTGGCTCTAGTGGTAGAGTGCTAGCCTTGAGGTGAAGAGCTGAGGGACAGCGCCCAGGCCCAGAGTTCAGGCCCCACGACCGGAT